ATAGTATTCACTAAGGCACGTTCAAATCTAGAGCTACCTCTCTTGATGAGATGTCTTTTCACTTGTCTCTCTACTTATGTTTGCATTATCATTTTCATATCTATTAATTTTCATTCACGTGGCAGATTTGTTGGAATTTGGTTAAGAAAAATAAACAAAAGTTGATTTTGTATCAATGTCGACCAAATATTAAGGTAGGTTTTGACGGTCAAATCATGCATATGAATAGACTAACTTGTTTTACTCATTGAATAGATAATCATAGTATATTTAGAATCTAAAAATCAATTCTGGATATATGAGAAATTGTAGTCCAAAGGAGGAAAAAATAGAAATTTGACTATATAAAACCATCACTCGAGCAACTGCCTGGTGGCTAGCAAGTGGTGGGTCTGCTTTGGGCGCTTAAGTGCATGATCGGACGGTTAACAAACAGCCTGAAGGGCTGCATCCCTTCATAAAACATACTGAATTTTGGGGTGTGTCTCTCGGGCCACAACTCCTCAACTTTTATAAATTGGACACACTTGGTGATCTAAATTTATTGCCTATCATTCTCTTTGATTCTCTGGCATAAAAAGACTTCCAAAATATTGTTTTCTTGCATTAAAATCATTCAAATGGTAGAATGTTCGTTCCATTTTCGAGCTCGTTGATTCCTTGGAGTTTGAAGTGTTTCTATTGTAATGAGAGTCTCTTGTATTTTAGGATACTATTGCCAAGACTCTGTTAGCATCGTTACAGGACAAATTTGTTTTAAAAACCAAGAGTTGAACACTTACCTCGAGTTTTGCATTCTTCTTTTCATTATTGAATTTTTTGCAACTTTCATTTTCTTCCAAGTAAATTTTACTTTAATTTATTGATTTCTTAAGTTTCAATTGTATCTTGCAAGCGCACACAATATCCCGAACAAGTATTCCATCCACTATATTCATTTGAAGATCAGTTGGCAAAATGTCAATCGGATTTAAAGATTTAATTCTTTAATTTCATCTTCAAACACTAAGCAAAAAATATTAAATTCTTATATGCGTACCATTGCCAACGACACTGTTGTTCAGGTTTGACTTTCTCGTATGATTTCGTATTATAGAATTACGCAACAAGCTCTCAATCTTGTAAAACTGCACACTTTGGCCTAGCCTAATAATCTTTTCCATTTTCGAAATATCTAACTAATTAAAATTGCAATCAACGTTCGACAAAATTCGTAATTAGACGAGATTGTTGACAACCAAAATAAAGATAATATAAAAAGTATTTTCGTGGTTTCACAAATAAGATTGTAACACACACTTATCATGCTAAGAACTTCTTGTGGTTTCATTACAAGTGTACAAGTTAGTTAACAATTAGTAATGTGGACCTAGGAGTATAGATTATCGTCCTCACCAAGGCTACCTTTCTAACAATTGATTTTCTATTCGAGTAAGAACAATTAAAACTGATACTAATTACGATCCTCAAACCTATTAATCTAAGAAAATAATTGAGAAGTTTGAAAATCGATAACTTAGGATTCTACCTAAATTCTGACTCGTTCTAAATTGTCTAAATAAATAACTCACCTCCCTCGTGAGTTCACAAATCTATGAATTAATGACCAAATAATTCAAGACATGAAGAAAATAAGTAAGAGTAATACACAAACATCAATTTAGCATCAAAACATTATAATTTTAAGGCTCAAAACTAGGTTACATCTTTGTCCCATCTTTTGGTTTAATTACACCTTATAGGAGAAAAAAATACTAGATTTTGAGTACATCATTGGATTTAAGAGAAGAACAAGAAAAAACGAAGATCTTACACCAAAAATTCACCTTTTTTCTCAAAAAATCTTGGAAACAGTAGCTTTTTTACTTTTCTCATTTGTATTTTCTCCAATTTTCTATTTTGCAATCTCCCCTGTTTTGACTTATATGAGATCTCTACATAGGCATCAAACAGTCTCAGAAGTCGCGCCTCAAAAAGTCAGCAAAATACCCGACCAAATTATGAAAATTGTTATTATTATAATTTATTATTATTATTTTTTTTTTTTACGAAAATGAGAAATCAAACTGTAACATATAGGTCACTAAATGCCCAACTACAGTCAACCACGATTTTCCTGTCGCGGTCGATCGAAACAAACAGCAGCTGAGTTTGTCACCCGCTTAATTTGGCCAATTTTTGGACCTTAAAATTGAGGCTTAACAATGCATACATTTTCCATTTTTTTCGCGGTGTACATTTATTTATTTATTTTTATTATTTATTTTTACTTTGAACAATAAATTGCAGAAGAAGCCCCTAAACTTTTTGTCCTTTAAATTGTGGACCTCAAAATTTTTATCTCATCAATTTTGGTAGTTTCTACATTTTTAATGTTCAATTTAGTCCTTCAAATTCCGTATTGTTGTGATTTGGACCATTTCAGTTTTTTCATCCGATTGTTATCTTTTTTTATCCAAAAATTCAACATTAGAATACAACTTTCATAAGAATCCATCTTGGTCCCCGAACCTACATAATCATCCAAAATTGATCATCAGTGAATTTTAAAAGTGTAATTTTAGTTCCCAACTTTGCAATTATTGAGTTTCACTCCTGAAACTTGCAACTTTCTCTAATGCAATCCTATTTATTATTTCATTACTTCGAACCAACTTCAAATTAGCACACGGGCCAAATATAGGAATCCTAAGTGAATCTTATCACATAAGATTTAGAAGGAATCATAAGTTTTTACAATTAAGTTATAAATGGTTTATAAATTTAGTTAGAATCAAACATTAATTTCAAACATATATTTATAATTACCACTAATTTATTATCCATACATTTTGTGGGTTTCACTACCATTTCTCTTACTATTTCTCTTTATAAATGGCTTATAAAATTGTCAATGGAGGCCAAATATATAGAATACTAATCTAGATGGGATTAATTGATCTTTTTGAAAATAAGCTCTTTATTAGCCATATTCCCTCTATTTTAGAGAGCAAGTATCAAACTCTTGAGATTTAAATATAAAAATAAAGAGAGATTTTGACATTTTTGAAAGTTCTAATTAGCTAATTTATTTAGATCTACGTGCGCAATTACAAAATAAAAGCAACAAATCACTTATTAATCATTTTTAGATTAATTAAGTCAAACAATCTAATTTATCCTATATTGAATTATCATAGATTGAAATAAGAAAGCAATGAATAACACCAAATTGATCATAGAGAAAACTCTTCGAAATGGATCAAAAACTCCAAGCACTTTACTAGTCAATAATCCACTATAAACCAAACAACTTACAGTATAATCCCTACCCGACTAACCCTTAGTCTCCTCTTACCTTCTTTTCCTATAGTCACCCTTGATCTACAAGACTGTGTGCTTCTTACACTAGATTCCAACTCCTGAAATACCATCTTGGTCCTCCTGAATTGCATGCTCCTCACACTAGCTCCTGACCCTCTTATATTGCCTTAGCCCTTCTTGGATTGCATGTTTCTACACCAACTCCTGATTCCTGGTATCATTTATCTTTGATGGATTAGGTGTTTTGGAGCAAAAGACCTCCTGTGTCTTGATCTTGTTGTTTAATACAGAACAATATGGCTTGATAAACAAATATTTTAGAAGAATTTATGGATCAAGTAATATGTGGTGGTTAAATTTTGGAATCAGTGAATACTTTGGATCAGAATTGATCTCTATGGAATAAATATGATTCAACAACCTATGGGACATCCATGGGGTTAGTACTTATAGGGAAAAATGTTTGGGATGAAATAGGGATGAATAATCATGTGTTTTAAAGCAAACAAGATTCTACCTCATAACATATCGCTCGAGTGACGCACTCGTCGCTCAAGCGCTGGTCCAACGCCAGGCTAGCGACAACTTTTTGTTGACTTTTCGCCTTAGCATTAGAGCGTTGGCCAAGCGGTAGGCTAGCCAAAATGTGTCCTACTCTATATCAACTTCTTCAAGTTCAAATCTTGATCTCCTTCTTTAATTTCTTTGACTTCTCTTTGGACTCTATCAACCCCAAATTATACTTACCATAACTTGGTCTCAATAAAACTATGTTGACTTTGATTACAATATAATTAAATCCTAATACAACTCTAACGAATTATGATTTTTGCCTTATGAAATTACCAATTACAAAACAGAATTTTCAATTTTAAATGTAGACAGCAAAATCCCCATTTATATAAAAGTTTCAATATTGTCATTTATTATTTCAAGACTTTATTTATGCGGAACCCAATTTTAAAGAGACAAAATGCTGATCAATAATTTCTGGCTCCTTGGAAAAAAAAATGGAAAATAAAGATAATATAAAAAGTATTGTTGAGCTTCTATAAAAAGTCCCATTCTTTATTTTTGGAAATTATCTAGAAATATTGAGAAATATTCTCTTTGACATAAAGAGTCTTATTAGACATGCTCTTAGAGATTCCCAATAGGATTCTAAAGGGCCTCTCTACAGAGAATATAAATAGGACCCAATTATGTATCTTCTATACACGTTCTAGTATTAAAGTTCCTGAAGTGTGAAAATTCGTAATTGGTCGAGTAATACTCAAGCACCATGAGCATTAGAACGTGAACATAGTGTGAATATCGTAGGATTATCGTAATATTTGGAACTATCACGAGCTTTTGGACTCAAAGGTCATAAATCCAATCCTCTACTATGTACACACTTATCAATATAATTTGACGTGATTGTTGTTCAATAAGTTGGCTTTAAGATAGGATTTTGCTATTTGTACAGAAAAACAGTCAAACAAAGTGACACAAATGATATGGAGGGAAAAGAGTGGATAAAAATGTTACTGTATTTTAAATTGACAAATAATAAAATCTGCCGCAACATTATGTAAAGTATTATGTAAGCCTTGATATACATGTAATATTGTCCGATTAGAATTTTGAATAGGTATACTATAAGTGTTTTGGTCAAGTAATTTGGACATGCACTTTTTTGAAAAGTAAAAACAATGAGCCAAAAGTAATAACCACAGTCAATTTATTTGATCAAGTGGCCCTATATTTAGTCGATTTTCATGTGCTTTTAAGCAGAACCCAGCTATTTCCACATAAACGACGAATAGCTGGCCTCAAGGTCCCCTAAATTTAGTCATTTGTGGTCCTAAGAAATTTCTCTTCCCAGTTGATACACTGAACTCAAAAGAAGTTTAATTTGCACACTGCACAAAGTCAAGAAGCAAAAGGAATCTGCTACCAACCACTGACCGTATGCAGAAAACTGAGAAGTAGCTGAGAAGACCAAATTCAAATCAGCTAAGAAACAGTCAAACCAATACATACATAAGAAAAATGCTAAAGATCTCGGGATTAACCATTGTTTAAGCAAAGGTTGCCAACTTGACCTTGGGTGGATTAACAAGACAAAGATGGAGAAGATCATCAACACTAGTATAATTGTAATCAGGGTAAAGCCTAGTGACCTCCAAGTCTTTCTCTGTGAGATCAAAACTAACTTGATCTCCTGCAATGAATATATTGTGAAGAATGGCCGCTGCAACATTGTCTGGGAAGGGTAAGCCTGCAAACACAAAATTCAGAGTCTCAATATATGAAATGTTTGAGACGTGCACAATTTTCATTAATAGGCGGCTGCAAAACTTGAATAGAGAACCATATCTTGTAGAACCAACCCATATAAATTTTTATGTAAGTTGTTAAAGAAAAGATAATTTATTCAAATTTTGTTTTCAGCAACCCCTCCCAGCCACCGAAAAAATAATCTTGAAAATTATCGTGTATTCACAAAATGATGATAATCATTACCCTTTTGCTTTGTCCAGTTTAGAAATTTTTTTTAATATTTTTAATACTATTTATTCGATAAATGTTTTCTTTATGAAGGCCAATATATTAGAGGAAACACTGATCTATATATCAGCATTTAGGATAAAAGCAAAGCATCGAAATCAAGCTAATGATTATGTTGACAAAGTGAGTAAAAGTCTTATTACGTTCGGAGAGCTTAATGAGATCTTCCTCCGGAACATGAATCCTTTTCATTGTTCGTCCAGTCTTTTTCTCCCATGAAGAAACCAAATCCAGTTGAGAAAAAATATTTTTTGAGGGTCTGCAGATAATGACTCGATTGGCAACCCTTGGATCGGTTGCTGCTTTCACTGTGTAGGCTGCAACATCTTCTTCATGGTTCAAAACCGCTGCACAAAAGAAATTTCCATTAAAACACGGATATATTCTCTTTGTAATATATAGAAGGCAGAAAAAAACTAAATAAATAAAAATAAAAATTATTATAAAGCAAGAAGTTTAATTGTTACGAAAATTGATGCCTCGAAGTGTTCAAATTTTATATATTCCAGAACATGACTATTAAGTTTAGGTTCATATTAATTTTTTGTTTTGTCGTACTTTAATTGGAGGTTTGGTATATCAACCCCATCTAAGAATATATGTTAGTTAAATAAAAGAAGGAGAATAATATGTTAATATAAAGATCAAACAAGAACACAAGATTTATGAGGAAAAGGATCCATGGATAGAAGAAGAGAATTTATTAATATCAATAATGGAAAATTACAAATTATAGTATAAAATGTAAGGATTGATTTTTCTAGAGATTTACTAATCATATATATAGTGCATAGAAGAGCTCAAGATGTAGGGAGTTTAACTATAACAAGTTTATACAATAGAGTGTTTGGAATAAAATAAGATTTAAAAAATCTACGAAAATTGAGAACTGTGCAAATCCAGAGAATATCGTTGCTAGGGCAGCGATCTTCATAGCTGTTGAGCGGTGGCCAGCCGCTCAAGCAGTCTTCTCACTAATAGCGAGCCCTGAAGATCCTATTCTGAATTCCAACTTGAATTTTCAAATGGATTTCAACTAGAATTCCCAACTAGATTTCAAATAGAATTTTCAAGTAGTCTTCCAAATAGAATTCGGGTCACACTTTTATTCTAACAAACTGGACCTTGATATGAATAAAATGGAATTTAAAACACTTGCCAACATCGAAAAATGTTCAAATCTGAATAAGATTGTCGCTCAAGCGGTGATCGTGACCACAACTGTAGAGCAGTGGCCAACCGCTGGAACAGCCTCCTCATGAATAGCGAGCGCTGAAGCCCCTATTCTAAGCACTCAGCGAGATCAAGGCATGTAGTGAGTGCTAGTTTGCCATTTCCTCCTTGCATGATTCCTTCCTCTCTTTTTGCAACTTGGACTCCTTCAAGTTTTCTTCAAATCCGACACAAATCAACCAACTCCCAATTGAACTCCCAAATTGAATTCCAACTTGAATATGCAAATGTATTTCAACTAAAATTCCCAACTAAACTTCAAATAGAATATCCAAATAGTCTTCCAAATAAAATTTGGATCACACCATAATTCTAATAATATATTGACAGTTGGAGTTTCGACCTTTGTCCTCATCCTATGCACTTCATATTTTTCTTTTTCTTTTTTTTCAGTAAATTGGTTCCATTGCTTAAAAGAAACTCTCCAGTATCATGGAATGCCAAAAAAAAAAAAAAAGGTTATGTTTAACTTTCCATACTGTCAAAAGAACGAAAATAAATTGTACTGGAAATACTGAGCCTTTCATTCAAACACGTAACGTTAGATTTTTTTGCAAAATTCTAGGATTATGTTTGAAGTAGTTGAGATATATAATAGAAGAGCTGCCTTAACGCGAACCACACAAGGGCTACTCTAGGGACCATATATTAATTAGAGTTTGAAGATTGAGAAGTATTTGATAAATTTGTCTTGTCTCTAACAATTTTAAGCATTGAACAAGATAGTTTCTGGTATGATTTTACCTTTGGCTTCACCACTTCCGTAGATAGTAGCATGGTCGGATATTTGACACGGATGGAGCAAGTAATCAACAAAGTATGCCGCAAATGAATTTGCAGACACATATGTAAATGGTATTCCGGCTGCCTCAGTTGCCCTTCTTATCTTCTTCTTATTGTCCAGCAGCTTTTGGAATGGTGGTAATCCACTTATCCTGTCAACTTCATTGCCAAATTCTGAAGGTACAAATCTCTGGTTCTCAAGAACAGCAAATTAAGTTAATAAATATCCCATATTATGAACCCAAAAAAGCCGAAAAAGTAAAATTTTATTATGAAAAAGATTAGAAATATTAATCTCCTGTTCGACATCATTTACTTTAATTTAGGCCATGTTTGGCTGCCATTCTTAAATTAAAAAAAAAAAAAAAAAAAAAAAAAAAAAAAAAAAAAAAAAAAAAAAAAAAAAAAAAAAAAAAAAAAAAAAAAAAAAAAAAAAAAAAAAAAAAAAAAAAAAAAAAAAATTACGGGAAAAAAATATTATAAAATTAGAAATTATATCCTTTTGTTGAGTAAGTGATATAAAAAGAATAAATCAGCACTCTGCAAACTGCTGCACCAAATTTTAGTTGAACTCCATTCTGTCCTATGTATAATTTTCTACAACGAATCAAACTTAAAATTATTTACTTGTACTAAAAAAAAAAAAAAAGAAATATGTTTTGAATATAGTGTTTTAGGAGAATGGGCGATTAAAAGTACGGAAAAAAATTTGGATTTACGTAAAGAATATTTTATTTAGTGAATATATGGTTAAAAATGATCCTGTAAAAAAAAGTTTAAAAATAAAGGGATTCAAACTGGGGTTTAATTTATTCCTAAACTCATTTTCAACCATGCGTTCACACAATAAAATATTCTACACGTAAATCCAAAACTTATTACTTTTTAACCACACATTCTCCAAAAATACTATTGAAAACAATGTTTTTTTAAATTTTAAGGATGTCAAACAGGAGGTAATCAATTACCTTAATATTGCCTGCTTCTTTCATGGCACTTATTATCTCGAGTTGTTCAAGATGTTGAGGGACTGCAAGAGTAGATATCACAATATCTACCTGTTTCAGCATCGTAACGAGTTGCTCGTGCTCGTCAAGGTCTCCCTGTTTAAAGATTTAACTGAATAATATTAGCATAAAATTCAAATCGGATAACTTGGAAAATGGTCGATTATTTGTCTAAATAAACTCTTTAAGAAATATGAGGTAATACTTGGAAAACGATTACTCCCAAGGACTTTAAATTGTTGAGAATCTCAATTTTAGAAGGATTGGCGCTGTTGGACTTAATTGGACGAACATAAGCATAAGTGTGATGGCCCATGGAAATGCTTGCTTTCACCATTTTTACACCAAGATAACCAGTAGCACCAAAAATCATTATCTTGCAGTTCTTAGTAGCCATGTTACAACTTTGCGTACGTCTTCTTTTTCTTTTTTCCCTTCACTAAATTATCTCTTGCTGTGAGTGGAATAAACTTTGAAGAAGCCTTTTTATAGGAAAATCTCGATGCAACCTGCACGAAAAGTATAATGGGATAGTGAAGATGTTTGAAAATTAGATGCATAGCATGAACAATGAGTTTTTCGTTTTAATTTTTCATTTGTTTCTGTTTGTGGGGGTCCAGGGAAAATGGAGCTAGGGAAAATGGTGTTGATTGGGAAAATAGCACTCAAAAAAGAGTTGAGTGATTTAATTGATTACTTTACTTAAAATAAGTAAGGTTCAAAAAATGGTAATAATGTACTAAGAGAAGGTACAAATCACTGCTTCTGCATCCGTTTTTGGAGAGCGTACAGTTTGGAGGAATGTCCAATTGATAGATAATGACGTCTCTTCTTCTTACATAGGTTGATGGGATTCCTCGAAACTTCCTCTAGTTGATGGAATTTATCAATGGCTATAAAATGCGTTAAAATTATGCAATTAATCGTAGATGAAAGCTGATGCTTTCACTGACCCACAAAAAAAAAAACTGTTGTTTTTTTTTTTTAATTTTCCACTTAAATTATTTCGACGGTTAGATAAAGAAAAATGATACTCCATGCTCTACTGGTAATCTCTCTCCAGAGGAGTCCAATAATATTTCTATATTTTACTATGTTTCGTAAATTTAGCACATTAATTTGGCTTAATCAGTCGGAGACTGTATTGGTGGTGTGTTCACGAAAATATCTTTTCGAATTAAAATTAGGGTAATTGGCACAAAACGTCCCTACATTTAAAGTTTATTGTGGAAAATGTCCCCATCTTTCATTTTTTAACATTTTTACCCCTACCTTTCATCTTTCTTTGCGTTGAACATTCTTTTCACCAATTTTTAACTTAAAATGACCAAAATACCCTCCTATTAATACAAAACAAAAAGAAAAGAAAATTGCAACTATAGGCCCAAATTTTTGAAAAGTGCAAAAGAGTCCAAATTTGATAAAAACCATCACCTTCTTTCACCCCTACTCCACTGTCGACCTCCACCTCAACAACAATCACCCAACTGCCTAAAACATCGGAGCTCACACCACAAACAACTGTCATCAACCCCCAAACACTTTTCCATAAACAAATAAATCAAACAACAGAGATATATGGGCAAAATAAACCATCACCATCCCTTACTCTACACATAATCCAATATGAAAAATTCAAAATTCATTAAAAAAAATTCCACCTTTCACAGTGTATGCACTGAATCATAGATATCATATGCATACTGAATTTATATTTATAAGAAGTGAGGGGACATACGGGCGGGCAAGAGTGTGGAAGCGAGGGAACGGGAAAAGGAACTCCAGTTCAACCGGAGCTGAGGAGGCCGTGGAGTATAAATGTTGTGAAATTGTGACATTTTTTTCTGAAGGAGATTGCAACTCTTCGTAGGCTAAGGTTTGAAGGAATCATCCAGACCAGTGGGTGATCGGGATTGGAGATGAGAGAAGCCGGTTCAATAGGTGGGTTAGACCACGTTTAATAAGAGTGTTCCTCATTTCTCTGCAACAGCGAAGTGAAAACAGTCCACAATTTTACATTAAATTGGAAAAGAAAGTGTCTAATTGAAGATAGATAAGTCGCAATATAAAAACGATGCTGTGGTTTAGCAATTAAAATGATTTCCCTGAAATTTCCATGTCAAGAAGCTCGACTGCCTGAGGAATGTGAAAATATGGGTACAATCACTTCTCAATTAGTAAATCAGCTTTTTCTGGCCTGTGAATTACCGCTAACCCAACTTGAAAAATTGATTGGAGAATTAGAAGGAAAACCTGATTGCATGATTCACAGTAATCCTCTAGCTCGGACTCATGAAGTTGCTCAAAAATTCAGTATCCCAAGGTATATTTTTGAAACAATTTCTTACCCACAAAATAATTTGGGGGTTATTTGCACTTTTAAAAGTTTGGGCCTACAGTTGCAATTTATTTTTCTTTTTCTTTTCTTTTCTTTTTTGTTTTATTTAAATAAGAGGGTATGTTGGTCATTCTACGTTAAAAATTAATGAAAATGACGTTCGGTGCAAAGAAAGGTTAAAGGTAAGGACAAAAATGTCAAAAAATGAAAGGTAAAGACGTTTTCCACAGTAAACTTCAAAGATATGGACGTTTTGTGCCAATTACCCTTAAAATTACCAAATGTGTACAGTTCGTTAACAAGTAGTAAAATGAATTTTGAGTCCAAATATCGTTCCCAAAGGGATTTTGCTAGTTCAAGTTCAAATCAACTTAGCCTTAACCAAACAACTGAAATTTATGATTTTTCGAATAGATAAAATAATCTATTTATGAATGCAAAACCTAACTTAATTAAAATAAATGCAAGATTATAATTAAATGCGAGTTTTATAAAAATATGATGATAAAAAGCGTACGGAGGTGGCCAACTGCTCAAGTAGCCTTCTCGTGAATAGCAAGCGTTGAAGCTCCTATTCTGAATTCTAATTTGAATTCCCAAATAGATTTCAACTAGAATTCCCAACTTGATTTCAAATGGGATTTTCAGATAGCCTTCCAAATAGAATTTGGGTCACACCCTGATTCTAACAAACTGAACCTTGATATGTTTCACTACAATCAACAAAATTTCAAAAATTCTCTACCTGGAAACAAATTTCACAGAAATAATAATAAAATTTATCTCTTCAACAACAAATTCTCCACATCTTCCATAAAAACATGCCCTATAACAAAATCAAAACAACTAAATGCTTATGTAGAGGTTCTTTGTTAGACTCAATACCTTCAACTACATTTAAAACATAAGAAACTAAATTAGCTTCCTTGTACCTTTTTGGAGACCTAATATCTTTTCTAGGTCTGTCTCTCCCAACTGAATACTGTGACACCACTGATGGTGGTGGCGATGGCGGCAAAGCGGCATTATCCATAGCTTCTAAACTCGACTTAGATTTATTCTTTAATATAGACCCTATACTAAATTTCAACAGTATTGTACCAAACTTAAAATCCACCTGAGTGCCTAATTTTTGCTGATTGGTATCCAAAGATTCTGTAGAGTCCTACAAGACATATAATTGGAACCTTTTCCCTTCATCATATCATGGACATGTTTACTTACTTTCAGGACTCCACCTTCACCAATATATCTGTATCCTTTTGAATCAAGAGTACTCAAGGAGAAATCTTCAAATTCGTAACATGTCTTGTAGCATCAAGTGCTTGACAATCCCATTAAACATCTTAATTTTGATCCTTCCAATACCAGTAATCCTACAAGGTGTATTTTTTCCATGACCACAACACCTTTGAAAACTGTTTCATATGTTGAAAATAAATCTTGATTAGGATACATATGAAAGTCAAAGTTGTATCAAGAATTCCATCCTCGTAGATTTGGAGTCGCCGTAAGAAATAACCAAATGTTTTCCATCATTGTAGCAATCTTCTGCAATACTAGCTTCACGTAAAGTTTTTTGTTATTTTTCTTTTTGATTTGTAGCAACTGATTTATCCTTATTCTGCAACTTATAATAATCCTTCTTAATGTGTTTCATTTTCTTGCAATAACTAGAGACTTTATTACTGTAATTAGACATTAATCTGTCCCTCACACAATCACTATGAACAACAAGGTCATCTCTATTAGCCTCGGATCCAATAAGGTGTTTCATCTTCTCCTTTAAAAATTGTGAATCATATGCTTTTTCAATAGTGAGCGTATTACTATAAGATCGATTCTTTAAATGAAATTTATGAGGCGAGCAACAAACACAATAATATCAATCCTAAATCTTTTTCATCATACTTCAGCTCTAAGATCGATTCTCTAAATGAAATTTATGAAGCGAGTAGAAAACACAATAAAGTCAATCCTAAATCTTTTTCATCATACTTGACCTCCAAAGTCTCCAAATCATGACTCTTTTTCTTATAAAAAACAACTAAATGATCTTTTCAGTGATGCACCTTCAATTATAAGATTTTATGAAGCAATGATTTTCTCTTATAAAAAATCCTGAAAAATATGATTTGAAAGATAAAGATATATCTGTGATAGGGTCTTTCAATCCTTATGTTGTCTTTCTTCTAATGTCCAAGTTGAGGGCATTTTGTCAATCCCAACAAAGTATCATCCATATCCATTTGAGCAAGCACTCCTTGCATCTTTACTTGCCAAAGTGAAAATCTAGTGTTGCGTTCCCAAAGCAAAATATCATACTTCATAGTTGCCAGAACAAAATCAAACCTTGAACTGAGTTGATCGAATCTCTCTTTGATATCACTTGTTAGTTAAATAAAGGAACGAGAATAAGATGGCAATGTGAAGATCAAACAAGAACATAAAATTTACATGAAAAAAAAATCTGTGGGCAGAAAAGAATAATTTATTAATATCAATAATGGAGGATTATCAATTGTTATGCTGAATGTAAAGATTAATTTTCTAGAGGTTTACTCCTCATAGATGTAGTGCAAAGAAAAGCCTAACATGTGATGTTCAACTATAACAAATCTATATAATAATGGAGTGTTTGGAATCAAATAGAATTTAAACAACTTGACAACATCGAGAACTGTTCAAATCTAGTTAAGACCGTCGCTCGAGTTACAATCGTCACGGTTGTACAGCGATGGTCGTCAGCTGGAGCAGCCTCCTCGAAAATAGCGGGCGCTGAAGCTGTTGTTCTAAGCACTCAACCGAGATCAAGGTATAAAGTGAGTGCTAGTTTGTCGTTTCAGTCTTCTTGCATGATTTCTTCTTCTCTTTTTGCAACTTGGACTCTTTCATGTCTTTTTCAAAATCGACACAAAATCAACTAACTCCCAGTTGAATTCCAACTTAAATATCCAAATAAATTTCTACTAAAATTCCCTACTAAACTTCAAATAGAATTTCCAAATAGTCTTCCAAATAAAATTTGGATCACACCCTAATTATAGCAATATATTGACATTTGGAGTTTCGTCCTTTGTCATCATCCTATGCACTTCATATTTATCTTTTCTTTTTTCAGTAAATTAGTTCCGTGGCTTAAAAGAAACTCTTCAGTATCACAAAATTTAAAAAATATATATATGTTTAACTTTCCATACTATAATATATTATTGTCTGAAAATTATTGGAAAGTGTTGGAAATTAAACTTGATTCATGAATGATGGAAAATTAAATTTGTTACATGAATGAGTTTACTTAATATTCATGTACTTATTTAAATCATGTATCCAAATAGTTCTTTGTATCCTATTATTCATAGTATGTAGGAAAAGTCATTAATTAGTCTTTTAAGTTTAAACAATATATTTGGGATCCTTTGTACCTATAAAAGGCATTTTGCTTGAGACATTTTATAGAGTCAAGCCATATGATACAAATATTTTTTGAGAAATCTCTGAATTTTCTCTCTAGCATTTCATCCCATCCCATAATTTTTATTTACAACAAAGTGGTATCAGAGCCATTTCAAAAGATGAATAGTTCATTTCCTCTCATTGTTTCCAAACTAACAAAGGAAAATTTTGGACATTGGAGCATACACATAAAGGTGTTGCTCGGCTCACAAGAGACATGGAAGTTGTAGAGAAAGGCTATGATGAACTAGAGAATGAAGGAGCTTTAAGTCAAGCTCAAAGGAATGACTTGCAAAGGTACCGCAAGTTAGATCAACACGCTCTCTCTATTATTCACATGGGCTTAGATGAAGCCATTTTGAGAAAGTTGCTTTCTCAACAAAAGCTAAGGAAGTTTGGGAGATTCTCGAGAACAATTTCAAGGGAATTGAAAAGGTGAAGAAGGTTCACCTTCAAATCTTTCGTGGGGAATTCGAATCTCTGTACATGAAAGAGTCAGAATTTGTTTTTGACTATTTCACTAGAGTGTCCTCCATTGTCAATCATATGAAGCATTATGGGGAGAATATTGAAGAAAGTCTTATCATTGAGAAAATTCTTAAATCGTTTGACTCAAAACTTGAGTTTGTTAGTATTGCCATTGAAAAGTCTAATGACTTGGATACCATGACCCATGATCAACTCATGGGTTTCTTGCTAGCATATGAAGAAAGACTGAAGAAGAAAGGAGAACAGATGGCTCAAGTTCTCCAAGTGAAGGTCTCTTTAGGAGATCAAGAGAAAGAGCAAGGACAATCTCAAAGGAAGAGGTCAAATTTGTGGTCGTGGTCATGGTAATGAAAGAAGTGATGGAAAACAAAATTGGAATAATAAAGGATCAAGCAATCAATTGAGAGGATGAGGCCGTTGGAACTATAGCTCCAAAAGAGGTGGCGGAAGAAAGTATAACAAGTCCAATATTCAATGTTACACTTGTCATAAATTTGATCACTATGCTTCCGAATGTAGGAGCGACACCACCAATAATGAAGAGAGAATTAATTATGTTGAAGCAAAGGAAGATGAATAATTATTGTTGTTGTTGTAGGGAACCAAAGAAGAAAAGATAAACAATCGTGGTACCTTGACACATGTGCCACCAATTACCTAAGTGCCAACAAGGAGTTATTCTCAACGATAAATGAGTCGGTGAAAGGTAGTATTGTTTTTGGAGATGAAACCAAAGTTCTAATAAAAGGCAAAGGTGATGTTCTTCTTCGTGCTAAAAATGGAAGTTATCTTTTGATTTCTCAAATTTATTATGTACCTACTTTGAAGTCTAATATTTTGAGTTTGGGACAATTACTTGAAATGAGCTATGACATTCACTTGAAGAAGTTTCTCATATTCTGATTGCAAAGGTACCAATGGAAAAGAATAGAATGTTTTTACTCAATGTTATTGTTGATCATCCAAGGTGTCTAAAGGCTTGTTTTGAAGACAATTCTTGGCATTGGCACTTAAGATTTGGCCATTTGAATTTTGATGGCTTGAAGACCTTGATGAATGAAGAAATGGTGAACGGGCTGCCAAAAATCAATCATCCCAATCAACTCGCTAGCAAGCAAACTAGAAGAAACTTTCTAAATGAATCTACCTCAAGAGCAACAAAGCCATTCCAACTTGTTCGTGCGAATGTTTGCGGGCCAATCAAACCACCATCTCATGGTAAAGCAAATTATTTTTTAGTATTTATTGATAATTTTTCTCGCAAGACCTGGGTTTATTTTTTGAAGATGAAAGATGAAGTTTTTGGAGCATTCAAAAAATCCAACGCTCTTGTTGAAAATGAGAGTGGCAACTCCATTAAAGCATTAAGGACCAATTGAGGTGGAGAATTCACTTCCAAGGTGTTTAACAATTTTTGTGATACCAATAAAATTCGGCACTTCCTCATAGTTCCAAGATCACTGCAACAAAATGGTGTCGTGGAATGGAAGAATAGAACCGCTTTCAACATGGTTCGTAGTATGCTTAAAAGCAAGAGTATGGAGAAGGAGTTTTGGGTTGAGGCTGTTGTATGTGCAATGTATTTGTCTAATCTTTCCCCATTGAAGAATGTTCGAGAGAAGCTTGGAGTGGTAAGAAACCTAGTGTTTTTGGTAGTATTGCCTTTATTCATGTACTAGATGAGAAGAGATTAAAACTTGATGAGAAAAGTGAGAAGTTTGTTTTTATCGGTTATGATTCAAACTCCAAAGGTTACAAGTTTTAATATCCTTGCAATGGGAAGATTGTTATTAGTAAAGATGTAGAATCCGACGAAGGAATCTCATGAGATTAGAATATTCCAAAAAATGAAGAATACGTGATTTTTCCTTTCCAAGAAGGAGACTCTAGCCAAGAAGCAACAGAAGATTTGAGAAGTATTTGATAAATTTTTGTTTTGTCTCTTCGCTGATACCGAGCCATTGAACTTTGAAAAGGCAATAGTAGACAATAAATGGAGGCATGTAATGGATGAGGAAATTCGAGCAATAAAAAGGAACAATACACGGGAACTAGAAGGCAAGACTTGTTGCCAAAGGCTATAGCCAAAAGCATGGCATTGACTATGATAAGGTCTTTACCCCCGTTACTCCCTTGGAAACCATTCGATTAATCATTTTCTTGGCAGCTCAAAATAAATGGAAAATTTACCAAATGGATATCAAATCTATTTTCTTGAATGAATATCTTGAAGAAGAAGTGTATGTTAAACAACCAATGGATTATGTTGTCAAGGAACAAGAAGATGAAGTTTTGAAGTTGAAGAAGGAGCTATATGACTTGAAACAAGCTCCTAGAGCATTGTATAGCTGGATTGACAAGTATTTTAAAGATCATGGATTCACCAAATGTCCATATAAGTATGTTCTTTACATTAAAAGGAAGCATTTGGAGGTTTTATGATTGTGTGCTTATACGTTGATGACTTGATCTTCACAACTACAATGAAAACATGTTTGATGAATTTAAGAAAATGATGGCTAAAGAATTTGAGATGACTGACATTGGGCTCATGTCATACTATCTCGTAATTGAGGTAAAACACAATGGAGATAACGTTTTTATTTTTCATGAATCTTATGCAAAGAAAGTTCTTGAAAGGTTCAAAATGCAAAATTACAATCCGGTGAGTACTCCAATTGGGTGTGGAACAAAAATGTCAAAATATGATGAGAGCACGAAAGTGGATCCATCTCTTGATAGATAGCTTGTTGGAAGCTTGAGATATTTGACTTGTATAAGACCCGATATTCTTTATAGTGTTGGTCTTGTTAGCCATTATATAGAGGCACAAACTTTAACTCACATGGAGATTGCTAAAAGGATACTTTGCTACATTAAAGGTACCCTTGATTATGGCTTGTAGTGATCGTAATAGTGATTGAGCTAGTGATATTAATCATCGAAAAAGCACCACTGGATTTTTGTTTTTCATGGGTAACACCGATTTCACTTGGTGTTAAAAAAAAAAAAAGCAACCCATTAATTGTGACTCTTTCTACTTAACTGAATATGTTTTTGCTGCATCATGTGTTTGTCATGCCATTTGGCTATAGAAGTTGTTGGAGATGCTTCATATGCCCCTAAACGAAGCTACACCAATTTATGTTGATAACGAGTCAGCTATTGCTTTGGGTAAAAATCCTATGTTCCATGATCGAAGCAAGCATATAGATACTAGATTTCACTTCATTAGAGAGTGCATCGAGAACAAAGAAGTTGAGCTTGCTTATGTAAAGACCAATGATCAAGTAGCAAATATTTTCACCAAACCATTGAAGAATACTGATTTTGCAAGATTGCGTACTCGGATTGGAGTTATCAAAAGCGAATCAAGTTTAAGAAGGGGTGTTGGAAATTAAACTTGATTCATGAATGATGAAAAGTTAAATTTGATACATGAATTAGTTTATTTAATATTTATGTATTTATTTAAATCATGTATCCAAATGGTTCTTTATATCCTATTATTCATAGTATGTAGGAAAAGTCATTAATTAGTCTCTTAAGTTTATACAATGTATTTGGGATCCTTTTTACCTATAAAGGCCTTGTGCTTGAGACATTTTGTAGAGCTAAGTTGTAGAATACAAATATTTTTTTGAGAAATCTCTGAATTTTCTTTCTAGGCTTTCTTCCCATAATTTTTATTTCCAACAGAAAGGGAAAAAAAATTGTACTAGAAATATATGAGCCTTTCATTCAAACACATAACATTAGATTTTTTTTGCAAAATTCTAAGAATATGTTTGAAATAGTTGAGATAGATAATAGAAGAGTTGTCTTAACACAAACCACAAAGGGCTACTCTAGGGACTATACATTAAATAGAGTTTGAAGATTTGAGAAGTATTTGATAAATTTGTCCTGTCTCTAATAGTTTTAAATGTTTGAACAAGATAGTTTCTCGTATGATTTTACCTTATATTTCACTACTTCCATAGAAAGTAACATTTTCAGATTTTTGACACGGATGGAGCAAGTAATCAACAAAGTATGCAACAAATGAATTTGCAGACACATATGTAAATGGTATTCCAACAGCCTCAGTTGCCCTTCTTATCTTCTTCTTGTTGTCCAGCATCTTTTGGAATGGAGATAACACTTACTCTTAACAACTTCATTGCCAAGTTCTAAAGGTACAAACATCCGGTGTTCAAGAATAGCAAATTAAGTTAATAAATATCCCATATTATGAACCCTAAAATAGCCGGAAAAGTAAAATTTTATTATGAGAAAGACCAAAAATATTAAGCTGACATCCTTTACTTTAATTTCAGCCCATGTTTGGTGGCCAATCTATGATAAAAAATTTAAAAAGTATATATATATAAATAAATAAATAAATAAGAAGAAGAAGAAGAAGAGAGAATTTTGGACACTGTTTTAGGAAAATTAATTATTAAAAATTAGGGAAAAAGTTTTGGATTTACGTACAAAACATCTTATTTAATGAATATGTGATTGAATATGATCCTGTAAAAAAAAAAAAGATTCAAAATGAACGGGAATCAAATTGGGGCTTAATTTATTTTTCAAACTCATTTTAAACAGCATATTCACACAATAAAATATCCTATGTGCAAATTCAAAAAAAATTTCCTGCATTTTAACAACACATTGCCACATTCTCCAAAAAATACTATTGAAAACAATATTTTTTAAATTTTAAGGATGTCAAACATGGGAAATCAGTTATCTTTATACTGCCTGCTCCTTTCATGGCACTTATTATCTTGAGTTGTCCAAGATGTTGAGGGATTGCAAGAGTTGATATCACAATATCTACCGATTTCAGCACCGTAATAGGGTTGGCAACGGTTCAGTTTGGAGTCGGTTCGGCCAAAATCATCACCGAACCACCAATTTTTTGGTCATACCATAACTGTACCATAACCACGTAAGTCGGTTCGGTTCGACTTGATTCGGACAATTAATAACCACGAACAAGGAAAAATCCAGGACTTCAACCCAGATTGTTGATCATTGACCGTCAACAATCAACGACCGCATAGCGTGTCATTTATTAATATCAAATTAAATGATATTTAAATTATTCCATCTATATGTAAATACAATAAAATGTAAAAATCATATATTTATGTCAAATTAAAGTACAATACAATCCGAAATTATATAAAATAAATGATACATGAGAGTTGTTTGTGCTTTCAATGTACCACTACAAGAACTAGGTTGAGACATCGATTGAAAAAACAACAACAACAGCAACAACAATTTCACAATCTGTATTAGAATAAAAATTAATTTTAAAATATAATTAAAGTTTTACCTTCTTCCTCTCTTGCTTGTCTTCCTCGATGACTCCTCCTTCAAAACCGTCAATGGCACTGGCAGCTTTACATACTCCACTGAAAATTCAACTCCGACGAAATCAGCATATGCTACCTCTCCAGGTGTTGGCTCCGCCCCTGACCACGAAAATAAATTATCTTTATAGATCCATCCGTCAAATTGAAAAAAAAAAAAAAAAAAAAAAAAAAAATTTAAAAAAAAGGAAAAAAAAAAAAAAAAAAAAAAAACCAATTTATGAAAAAGAGTCAATGAAAAAAAAATACTAAGTCAATTTAGCAAATAATATCCCAAATGAAAATGCAAACAATATCCCAATTCCCAAATGCAAAATCCAAATTTAACAAACAATATTATCAACATAACAATACTATACAATATCTTTGCCCCTTGACTCTTATGCATTGAACTTGATTCCTACTCAATAACTATAAAACTTCAACCTCAATTCAAATTCAATCTTTATTCATAGAAAGAATAATGGAAATCCCAATTGCCCAATTAATAATTTTTTAACAGGTACTTGTAATAAAAAAAAAAAGGGGTAACAG